GTACAAAACCATCTTTTCTACTCTTCCATTGTGTCCAATTAAGCTTTTAATCACTCAAAACATTTAATACAAACTGACACTTTCAGGTATTAAAGCATGCTGCTTGTTACTCTCAAATGAATGAGAAAAACATCCATACGTCCCCCCCCCCACTTGAAAAAAAAAAAAAAAAAAAAAAGTGTACAAAACCATCTTTTCTACTCTTCCATTGTGTCCAATTAAGCTTTTAATCACTCAAAACATTTAATACAAACTGACACTTTCAGGTATTAAAGTCCCAATTTTAAAAATACAACAACAATGTCCGACAAACACCTACAGATATTAAGTGATAAAAGGCATACAGCACTTCCACTGGGGGGGAAGCCAGGATGTTTCACCAGCTGTTTCGGATTATGCAAGTGTGTGTTGGAGCGTGGTGCTTTTACAGATGCGCCAAAGGGTTCATGGTGGGATAGAGAGTGTGAAGGCTTATCCTGCTCCATTTATCTATCCATCCATCCATCCATCAGCCACACAGACACACACACAAAAATACCGGGACATCCCCACAGTCATGCTGTCCAAATTTGTTATAAAACAGGTTGATACTTACTTGATCTGCTTGGCGTTTTTGTAGCGGACAAAGACAACAATTGGATAAATGTGAACACTGTGGAGCCTCTCAATGGCGTGCGGGGCGATGTCGAGCAAACAGTGACAGCCCTGCATCAAAAAGACATAAAAATAACAGCAATCATCGACGACCGTTTTCACCATCAGCGATCTTGCCTTTTATTGTCCACTGTCAGAGATTAAAGAGCCACAGCTGTGATAGCTTATCTTGACCAAATGCAGACAGTCGTTTCATCTTGTCTGATAAAATCTGAAGAGAAAGAAAAGCACAGAATAATACCTTATCTGTTATTTCTTTTATACAAGCAACCGTGGTCACATCAAAATGTCCGCTCCTGCGCTTGTAGTCGATGAAGAGGCAATCTTTGACGCCCCGCTCGATGGCTTGCTGGGATGCCTTCATCACCTCTGCAAACGAGACAGAAAAAGTACAAGAGTGAAGATTCCTGCTATGAAAGAAAGTAAGTAAACACTGAAATGAGAAACTAAATGCTTGCTAAATTACACCCTAAAGCTTTCCTCCTAAAATGTTAGTTGCAGTTCACTGATGTACATGAGGTATTCATTCTCCAGATTTACAGGTCTGAAACATCTGCACGACATCACCTTACCCAGTACACATCTGCAGAACTTTCCGGGGGATTCTTTCACCAGCATCTCCTTGACAGGGTCTGTGAGAGGCCCGAGGATGAGTACTGGTCGGGGAGAAGTGCACTCCACCTTCTGGACTCGCTGGTATGCCAAGCTCACACAGTCTGAATAAAACAGGAAAAGCAGGCCAATCAAAAATGCTGTTCAACTACCACTACTACAACAACACAGAACATCTAAGCCTTTGATCGCACCATCAAGGAAGGGGATGGAGTCTGTGCTGATGGTGTCCAAAGCCACCATCTCTTTGCTGTCTTTGGAGCTGCTGCGTTTGTGTTTCTGTTTCCTCCTGAAAAAGGATCTGCGGGCTGCTGCAGAGAGAGTCTTACTAGAGTCTTCCTTCATTTCCGTCACGCTGTGTCTGCGGTAAAACTCTTGGTCCATCCTACACAGACACAAAACAAAGATTCAATGTAAGAGAATCCAAACCGAAGGTCAGTTTGGATTCCTATTGTAGATATTAGACTGCAGTTGAGGAGTTGGTTCCCAAAACGGGATCACCTTTAATCAGAATTTAAATGTTATTGACTAATATACTAATATTGTTTAGCACCACACCTCTGCAGTAAGACAAAAATAAGATCTTGCAGTGCAATTAAAAAAAAATGTAAGTGATTTTAAATGTGCTTCCTAAATTGCAGCAGCATGGCAGGGATAATGGTCACAGCTGCTACAAGCTTAAAAATATGTGTAAGAAATGGAAAAAAAACAAGCTCAGATTCATGGAGAATTCAAATGGAAGGTTATAATCTGATTTTTCAGAACAACAGAAGCAATGGCAAAAATTTGCCCACATACACGCTACATTGCCAAAACTATTCACTCCTCTGCTTTTACACACATATGAACTTGAGTGACATCCCATTCTTAATCCATAGGGTTTAATATGATGTTTGGCCACTCTCTGCAGCTGTAACACAAGGTTCAGAAGCTTTTATGGGAGTTTTTAACCGTTCTTCCAGGAGCACATTTGTGAGGTCAGACATTGATGTTGGACGAGAAGGCTGGTTTGCAGTCTCCACCTTAATTCATACTAAAGAAGTTCTGTTGGGTTCCAGTGGCAGCGTGCTGTACTCCACTGCATCCAACACTTTGCATTGCGCTTGGTGATGTAATGCTTGGATGCAGCTGCTCAGCCATAGAAACCTATTCCATGAAACTCTCTACACATATTTGTTCTTGACCTAATTTGATGGCCACACAAAGTTCTCAAGATGGTATTTCACCAAAATCACGCAAAAGAGCCCAAGGTCCCGGGTTAATTCCTGAGTATAAATATCTGTTATTACCACTGACAGCAGCAACTAAATTAAATGCATTGTAATTAGACGCTTGAAGCTCGACCTTCCAACATATGTGGTTGGATAGAATTTGGGAAATCTGATGGAATGAACAACATAATTTTTCTGGAGATGGAGACCTATTTTTATTTTTTTTTAAACAACAGCGAGACATTAATACTAAAGTGCGTTAGATGAGGGATTGTAATTTATTTTAAATATGTGTGTGCATTTTTCCTTCCCTTCATTTATTTTTTCTTTAGATTTTTATTATTATTATTGAAGAAAAAAGGAAAACTGTCAATATTGTACTCACAACAACTGTAAATGTGACGACAGCAATGTAAATATGAATGGTGATGATAGAAATATATTGTGTATTTGCAGTTTCCACCCACATGTACTTGCTGGGGATCTGCCCCCTCTGGATCTGCTGCGCGTTCTCATCTAGCTGCCAGGCCATCCAGGTCCCAAAGATGCCCTTTGGTAAAGACTCATCCACGTACAGGATGTCATCCTTCTTAAAACTAAGGTCCCCCTCGGCCTCCCCCACCCTGTCGTAAAGTGCTCTGGTGGGAGGAAGAGAAAAAGATAGATGGGGAGTTATGAAGAACAGAGCAGAACGAAAGGAGCAGAGGAGCATGAAGTTGATAAAGTGAGAAAGGAGGTGAGGAATCACACAAGATAAGTGTGAAGAGAACAAAACGAAGAATCAGTAACACATGAGCAAAAGAAAGAAAGTGTACATTTCATTTTCAATATAAGCCTTGCTTTCCTCATACTGGAGGTTTGTAAGTCACTCCCGAGCAGCCCGTCTATGACAGCCACAGAAGCTGAGTATATTTACTGCAGATGACATCACAAGCCCACTTGCCTATATGACAAGTGACTGCAGCAGCTGCGGCAACAACGCCCAGACTGACACCCAACAATAAAAGTGACTATTATAGAACTTAATTTTCCATTCATACACCGTGCATCTCTAATGCCCTGGCAAACACTGAGAACTAAAATGGATGTGGTGTTGCATCTGGTGTGTACTGAGATCAGATAACCTAAATCTGTAGCGTGATTAGCTTCGCTGCAGTGATACAGTGGATCTGGGACATAACTGGTTAGATGAGAAAGAGTCCAGCTTGTCCAAAGGCTCTCTCGTGATGGTTCTATATTTAGCAGAAGAAAAAGAGATGAGGCTGCTGTGGGAAAATTAGCGGTCCCTTTTTAGAAACCTGGATCACAAAACTCTTACGTGACCGTATGTTTAAGGCAAGTACAAGCACATACCTAATGTAAAAGCCATCTCCTGAAATATCTTTGACCACGTTGAAGTCATCAGGCCGATGCTGCACCTTTAATGTGACCGTCTCTGCAGGCTTTAACATCTCAACATAAACCTCTTCAGCTGTCTTATTCTTCATATTCACCGAGTTGTACTGAAAGAAAGGGGAATGCGAAAAAAGGGAGGCTTATTTCACGTTACATCACGAAAATAAAAGGTCGAAATCTGATGAATGTTTATACTCCTGTAATCATTTCATCGGCATGTGAATGGTGCACAAGCAAACAAGATTTCCTCCGAGCTTTCAGCTGTATTAAAGCGTCGCAGTATTGATTTGTGCCATGTATGGGGGAAGAAAACAAATAGGATGCGAGTGTGAAGGACAGACTGATGCTGTGCCGCCTGATGACAAAGCCGCATGGCAATTCACAACTGCAGGCTCTTTGTGGCAGAGAGCTAAAAAACAGGAGAATGGCAGGAATTGTCTTGTATGAGTTTGTGATGTTCTGGAGAAATTGCCAAGTGGGAGTGGGAGAGAACACAGATGAAGACGAAATCAATGAAATCAATGAAAAACAAAGACAGGCAGGGGGGAAAAATGCCAGCACTTTCTGGCACTCTTCAAGTTTTAAGAAACAATAGCACAAAAAGTTACAAGAGACACAAGAAAACAACAAATTAGTATTGTGGCTGGTATTACACCTAAATATTTTTACCGTTTATCTATAGGAAACAAGGACACATTTATGTTTGAAAATGCTGTTTCAGGTATGATTTCATTTGGATGATCAGTTCTCTCATATCTTGAATGAAAGTTTTTCATGACACTTTCACAACCACAAACCACCTGAACGTCAGGCAATTATGGTAAATTGCAGCCATGCTCCTACGATCAGATTATCAAACTGTGGGAAATGTGCAGGAAAAAAAAAAAAAACAAAACCACTACAAAAAGAGCATATAAACCCAATTCCCAAAAAAGTCCCTGTGTAAAATGTTAATAAAAACAGAATGCAACGGTTTGCAAATCTCATGCACCCATATTTTTTTTCCCCACAATAGAATACAATGAATTTGATGGCATCAGCAGGTCTAAAAGAGGTTGGGACATGGGCAACAATAGTAAGTGGAACTAAACAGAAACAGCTGGAGGACCATTTTGCAGACAATTACATTTAATTGCCAACATGACTGGGTTTGCACACCTATAGGCAGTTAGCAAACTTGTCCTGCTCAGACATGTAGTGTATAGCTGGTAGTTGGGTTTATCGAGGTCAGATCACATGTGTCCTCTCAAGACAGTAACATCACGTGTCTGTCTTAGTGAGGCGTTTAGGGAAACACTGCATCTACAGAACAAAACATGAATGAGGCTTTTACTAGTTACTAATACAATATTCATGCAAAAATGACAAATTTAAAATGACTGATCTTTCCTGTTACCCATCCGACTGAATATGAATATACTGTATGAAATCTATCCAGGTCCATTATAAAATTCCATGTGTCTGTTTGTGGATGTGGGGTCAGGTTACAGTATATGTCCCTACCTCCAGGATGAGGTCCCCAGGAAGCAGCCCATCAGGACCTCGAGCTGGACTGTCCTCATCCAGACTCTCTATGTAGACACCCCTCAGGTTTCCTCCACAGAGTGTGACCCCTACTTCTACCCCAGGCCTGCGTACTGTTACGAGCCGCGGCTCACCCGCTTTCCTGCCCCCCTCAGACGGCATCCTGGAGGGCAACAAGAGTCAGTTACAGAGATAATGAAGTGTAATTGTGTATGTAATTGTGTGTGTAATTGTCTTCCCGTCTTTGTCTACATGTGTACCTGATAAAATTGTGAGGGCTGGTAGTGGGCGTAGTCTGCTTGGAGGAGGGAGTGAGTGTGCCCTCGTCCTGTTCACTGAGCGTATCGATGGTGGAGTGATTGTCAGGTGTAGCGGCCCCGCTGCCCTGCGGAGTTGGCTGAGCACTGACCGGCTCCAGACGGGAGCTGCAGTGCAAAATAGGTTACACTGATTGCATTAAATAAGGAGTTATGATTGATGCGCTTCATAAATGTCACAAATATTTTATTTGACCTGAACGTATTCTGTAGCCAATCCAAGTATCAAAAAAGTCCAAATTTAAATTAACACCAGCTTTTATTGGACCCAGTGCAAACTGGCCAAGTGCAATAATTTTAATTAGAGTGACTCAGACTTTGCAACTTTGTTCCTTGCTTTATATTGTGCGTTTTCTCTCGTTAAGAACTGGTGAAAGATCACAAGAATTTAAATAATAGAAAAGCATCAGGCTAACAGATGAATCGTTTTAGGTATTAGTATTTTTTTGCTATATTCTGCATATGTGGAGACACTTTAAAGCTGACCTATTACAATTAAAAAAAGAATAGAAGTCAATATGAACCCTGAGCTTTTAGCTTGTACCTACACTAGCTTCATTATTTGAAACTTCATTATATACATGGCAGAATATAAGGAAAAGCATAATAGGTCCACTTTAATGTGTCAGGATCTTATTAAAAAAGATACAGTCAATGCTGAAATGAGCCTAAAACCTTTTGTGTTGGTCAGACTAATATTTAAAGACAAACCGCTACAAAGTTCATCTTTTCACCTGGGTGACCAAGTGCTGTTTCAGATATTACTTTATGTATACTCAGCTAGAAAAGTGCAAGTCAATAAGATGTAACACCTGGCCTCACTGCCAGAGTGTATTTAAAATGCAGCTGGAACCGATTTAAAAATTAGCCAAATGAAACGGTTGAGATTCCGATAAAAACTAACCCTACACTAACGCCACATTACCTCGAGCGAGAGTGGTTGCCCAGCTGGTACATGTGTGGGTTGTACTGTGCCATAATGGTGATGGTGTCGCACTGCTGGCCGATGATGAGACGAGCCTGCTGCTCAGTAGCGTTCCGCAAGTTGATGCCATTGTACTGATAAAGTGAGAAAAGTGTGATTAGGACAGAGAATGAAGGAAGACACGGGAATATATTCTATTATCAGTCTATTAAAGGCTTTAAGTCAGGGATGTCAAACTCATTCTAAATTGTGGGCCACATACAGCTTTGATGTGAAGTGGGGAGGACAAGTGAAACGAAGAAAAAGAAAATTTCTAGAGTAGACAGAAAAGTTCACTAACATATAAAAAAATCATTTAATTTGTTTATATATTAGTTAATTACTTTGTGTTGTATAAATGAGAATGGAAGGGGGGGGGGGGTCTTTATCACTAGGAACTGCTATAAAACCTATGAAAATACATTTAAAAGTCCAAAATTTAGATGCAAGATGCCTTCCTTCACTTGTTCCAAAGCCAGCCAGTGGGCCAGATTGGAATCTTTGCCTGGCCGATTCTGGCCTCCAAGCCTTATGTTTGACACCTATGCTTTCAGTTATTTGCAGCAATTGGTGAAGAAAGTAGTTATGAGTTATGAGAGCTGACTAGTCATTAAAAAGGAAAAGTGTACATATGCATAAATGTAGAGCTGAATGCATGCACCTCAGCCCTTAAAATACATTATAATAGTCAGAGCTCCAGATCAAGGAGGCATCTGCTTTCATTTTCACTGAGCTTCAACTACTAATAATAAATATATTGGTGACATATCCATTAATATCTTGCTTCGAAACAGATATGCTTAGGAAAAAAAAAAAAAAAAAAAAAGATCTTTTTTGGACTCTCACTCCTATGCTGTTGCATGCCTGTAAAAATGTGAAGAGGGCACGTTACACTGGAGCAGCCCAGACGATGTGGCTCTTACTTAAAGGGAAGCAACAAGCCGAAGCACTGTTATGTGATGGTGAAATAAATCAAAATTATGGAACGCGCAGCTAAATTTCTGTAAACGCGGTGGGGGTATATTTCTTCACTTCAAAAACATTCCTACTAAGTGTTTTTCTTTTTTACTACCTAAACTGTGCATCATCTACAGCTACAGTAAACTCACAATTTATGTGACAGCTTGTGCAGTTATTTTACTTGTGTAGAGGGAAAAAAAGAAAAAGGTATTTCAGCAAGTATTAAAATACTGGGAACAGCTTCAGCACTAATGAATACAGTCCTCCAGGAAGTGAAGCCAAACAGAATAAATGTATGGTAGGCAGCAAAATGACTGCGCCTTTGAAGACTGAAAATGTTTGTGGCATCTGTATTACCATGTTTCTATTTTGCAGGCATCTGCCAGTAAACTCTTATTTATGCTGCTTGAAGGTATGTAAACTTTTTGAACAACAGTAGGTTGTTCATACCTCCAGTAATTGGTCTCCATACTCCAGTCCTGCCTGGTGGGCGATGCTACCTCCAGTGACTTTAGACACAAAGATTCCTCCGTTCTCCCCACTGACAATGGAGATGCCCAGAGGCTCTGCACCTTTGTGCACAATGACATTGCGGGGTTCCTCCAGGTATGGCCTAAAGGGGGAAAAGAGGAAAAAAATATATATACATGAATGAACAGAATCACATAAATGCAGTTATAAGTAGGTCACCACACAGGAGTAGAAGGTAGTGAGGGTAATAAGTTTCCTTACAGATCTGGGGAGTTACTTCCTGACTGGGCTTTTCCTTAAGTTACACAAAATTGTATCTGGTTCAAATTCTAAATACGTTATGAATAAAAAGCTCATCTTCAAATTTAAGAATATTTAACACCAAGCTTCAATACCACCCCCCACCCACAGGTATGTAGTGGATCATCTCTGCAGAGTGCCACATTATGACCGTCCTATAGAAGAAACCGCAGCTTTACAGAGACAATGTGCACAAAAGTGAAATCACAGCCATGTGAAATCCTTTCACATGAAGAAGATTTGCATGAATTTTGTGGGTCTTCATAACAAGGTGGCTTTGGATATGGGTTACAGTTTCATGTAGGTAGATAAGAGGGAGTGGATTAGCAGCCAGAGACCAGGGTAAAGAGAGTGGTGTGGTACAAAAACAAACAAAAAGATCATGATCTAGAAGCTTGAGACTGAATAATAATGATACCAGTGCATAACATACATACGGCAGACTAAAGGGTGACTTGGCTTAAAAACCAGCAGTGCACACATGCATAGTGACTATGGTGTTATCATAGAGCACGGATGCTACATGCACCCTGCTAGATTCAAATGACTTTCTGACATGGAGAGAGATATGGGCGGGGCACATAAACAACACCAAACCTTTGAAGTTGAAAGTGTATCTAATCAAGAGTTCTGTGTCCTCAAGCACAAATCACACTGCTGCATGCAAACAACCATCTGTCTCAGAATTACACAACTCTTGGGGTGGGTTAAAAAAAAAAAGTATAAAAAAAAAATAATAAAAACCTCTTTTTGCATTCCATATAGTCCACATAAACCTCACAAGCCTTTCTGGTCCTCCTTATTCTCTACCCAACTATTACATGTTGACAACATGGGCTGGGGAGAAGGCTGGGGGAAGGGGAGGGGGGCATATCCTTGTTTGTATCACTGTGAGAAGGAACAAACCTGAGGCTCCTGAGAGAGGAGAACCTCGGCCTTGCAGCCAGAGGAATCCTTAGAAAAGAGCGATTACGGTAAAGAGATCTGGAAGTGGAGGGTTGCAGAGAGGCAGGAGGAAGATAAAGAGGAAAATGGAAGACAGATATCATACAGAGACAGTAACATGTAAAAGAGTGGTGTTGGTTGTAAAATATGTGACAGGAAAGTTAAAAGATAGAAGATTCCAACAAAACATTAAAAAAAAAAACTGCTTCTTTGAAAAACAGCAAACATATTACCATTTGGAGTTTTAATAGGATTTCAATCTGAATTTCAATGGGGGGATTGCACAACTGACCATGATGGACCTGTTGCCTAGCAACACCTTTTGAAATAGCCTAGGAGGATCCTTGAGGGCAGACACAGGCTATATAGTACCAGCTTCTAATCATCATTCAGCCAACAACTACACCATTTGGAGGAAAATTTTTGCAGCATTTCAGTCCGATAGCAGACGCTGCAAAAAATCTCTCAACAAGATGGTCACACACAGTTAGCATCTTCTATGTTCCCTTTAATTTAATTTTCTTTTTAATGTGGGAATAGTTCTCTACATCATACCTGTCTTTCCTGCGCTCTCCTATTGGCACAGGGCTGACTGAGATCCGAGGTAAAGTAGAAATGGATCCTTGTGATTGGCTGCTGGCAAATGAGGAAGTCTCCAGATTGAGTGGTGATTGTGGAGGCGTGATGAGGCTGGGACTGCTACACTCGGAATGCGAGTGGGAGCCTGGGTTTAGGTAAAGAGGAACAGAAAAGAATAAGGACAATCCTAAAATACACACTGAAATATGAAAACTTCAACTTCATAGCATTTTCCCTCCCAGAAAAGATCCTTAAAAACCTAAATTTTCTCCTCAAATCTTCATTTTTTATTTTTTGATTTGCCTCATGCAAATGTTAGTTTGACATTTTGAATCAGAAGAAAAATTATTCTAGCAACCTAAGGAGAGTGTTTGGATTAAAGATCTTAGATCTAGATGTTATTCTTGTGTCTAAACACAATTTCACTACTAAGCCACATGAACCCAGAGGTGATAAGCAAACCACTTACTGATGACACAAACTTACTGATGACACAAAAAAGGCAGTTTAACCTTAGTTTAAACCCCTATTAAAAAAAAAAAAAACACTGAACTAACCAAGCTCAACAATAGTAAAGCAGACATTGAAAACAATACAAACAAACAAAATAAATAAAATTAAAAGTCTGTGGAATTCTGCCCCCTCAGAATTTGATCTGAGAGACTTCAATAGTCATATTTTAACAATCATTTGGTGTGTTGACTGTATTTTACTAGCAGGCACAGTACCTCTGTCTGAGCCCAGCATGGAGCGCGGGTAGCGGGGAGTAGAGGGGATTTTGATCCTCTCTGTGCGGTACTGAACATTATTGGAAGAACCTGTCAGAAGCATGAGAAGCATAAGACACGGAAATGAATGCAAATAGAAAAAGTGGCGTTGAGCTTTGGGACTGCTGGTGTGTGCATGTGCGTGCGTGCGTGCGTGTCAGACTGACCGAGCCGTGCACTGGATGGCAGTGAGTTTGTACCGTGTGAAGCTCTGCTGCTGCGTGATGAGGAGGATTCGGAGAAGTCATTTGAGCGTTTCTGCTGGCTCAGGTCCAGGCTCAGACGACCCTGGTGTTGTGGGCTGCACAGTGAAAGAAAACAAGCTTTGAGACCATCATAACTGAACACAGATTCTTTTTAAATATTTAGGCTGATTTTTACAAATTTACTCAGACCTGTAGACTAAAGAACTCTGTTCCCCACTGCCTTTAAAGTTCTAACACTTGACAGGAGTTTATTACCTTTTGGACTACTTTAGTTTTGCAGACACACAACTGCACACTCAATGTTATATCATATGTATAAATCTTATTATTTATACTGTATTTCTAATGTTTTTAATAATAGAATAATTGATAAACTATTTATTTAGTTTATGTGTTTGTTTTTTTGTACAGAGAAGCATGTTTCTTTAGTGTATATGACAAAACTTTGAAAACTGTGTGAGTGGCCCCAAAAACACCTTATGGAGGCTTAACACAGGTCTGTTAAATAATGACTCGTTTAAAAGAGAAATGGGACAGGAGTTAAAAACATATTTGGAACTCAATGACAATGGAACAGTTAAAACTGTGTGAGTGGCTGGGCTAAATTGCAACATCTCGATATTAAGGCAAAGCAACAGCAGGTAATGTAATTTAACTGTCAGTTTGCCTTTGGGAACTGGATAATTTTAAATCATTAGTCATTACAAAACACTAAACTTCCAGTTAAAGTAGCCTGAAGATAAACCGTCAGTTTTAAAGCTGGGTTCAAGGAAACTGTGGGCATTTAAAGGCTATAACCTGGTGTGGGTGTGCTGGTGGCATATCTGGGATGCGACAGATGGACAGTTGCTGGTATGAACACGGTGACTGCGCACAGTGTACACTGGATTCCTCATCACGGCCGTCACAGCGGGGCAAGGTGACAGTCCACGGTGGGTGGAATCTGCCAATTACACACATTCACACACACAACCATTTTATAGACGCTGGAATCTGTGATTATCCTGAGAGCACATAGGGACCGACCTATGCTTCAGCAGTCTGCAAACTTACTCGGAGGTAGGGATCCACCGTAGACTGTGGGGACAAAGCCGACGCTGTGTCTATGAGAGCGGCTGGGGGAGGAACGCAGCATGTCCCTGGGCTCTGGTGAATGCTCATCATTAGAGTAGCTCTGTGATTAATGACAGTTAAAAATTAAACAGCGGGGCAAGTACCATATGGCAAGAATGACAACCTGAACATCTCCTAACACTGAAAATAACATTTATCCCCAATGCATTCTCCAGGTATGGTATTTGAGCACTCGATTCTGACTCAGCTTGTGCACAGGGTGCAAGGCATCAATCACTCCGACACACTGGCAAGAGGTAAATCCCAGAGGCTTTACTCTGTCTGGGCTGTAAATTCTATTATAAAATGGAAGCTTTGGCCCACCGGGATGATTTGAAAGGTCCCATTTTGAATTTTCCCTCAAATACATCATATTCTCTGCATTACAGAGGCTTCTAATCAAAACTACCCCAGATTGACTGAGGGTGAAAGCAAAAGAATATTTTATGGGAAAAGCAAAAACAAATGTGACTCAAACTAAATGCACTTTTGCACCTCTGAACCCCTCAACTCACTTGGAAGGTGGGAAGAGTAATGGTCTGAGGGGTCATCCTACGTCGAAGGGCAGGGGCAGATTTAGGGCGCGGCCTCTTCACCTCTGGCTCCTCCCCTCTGGTACGACCAATGTCCTCATCACAAGACTTCCGTGAGGTGAGGACCTTGCCTTCCAGAAAATAGTGGTTTCCGTTCCTGTCCCTTTCTCGCTCACTCCTGTCTCTGCACTCGCCTGCTGCCATGGAGATGGCAGCCTCTCCTTTGCCGTCAGAGGTGATTGTGCAGTCAGAGGCAGAGCTGCTTTGATGTTTGTGTTTGAATTTGAAGGAGTCGCTGCGAGCGGGTGGGGTTGGGGGAGTTGGGGTAGGGGTTGATGAGGAGGAGAGGGACTCTGTCTTTGAAGGTTGTGGAGAGTGAGAAGCTGCTGCAGCAGCAGCAGCCACTGCTGCAGTCTGACTGGCTGCCATGTACTCCAGCTTAGTGGAAGGTGTTTCAGAGCGTTTGAAAGTGTCTGGGTCAAAGATGGACTTCCTCTGCTTGGGTGATTTGTAGATGGAGAGTTGGGTGGCTGCAGAGACTGGACTAGTGTCTCTAGTATCTGGAGCGACCGACATACTTCCCACTATCATTTTTGGCCATGTGCCGCCACTGTGCTTCTTCTCCATGGCTGCATCCATGGTGATGCAGTCTGCAGGTGAAACTGGCTCAAAGGGCAAAGAGGAAGGTGCTTTCGTGTAGGGACAGCACTCTTGGAAAGCACTGGGCCCATACCGGCCATTTCCCAAGTCTGAAGATGGCCGAAGGCTGGTGGCATGGAGGGATCCTGTGGAGAAGGGCCTGCTGATGTCACCATACATGTCATCAGATTCACCTCTGACCTTTCTCCTCTCCCCAGAAATGCTGCCTGTGCTAGCGCTTCCAACATCTGGGCAGAAAATGTCCGTCTGTGTCGAGCTGTTGTGTTTGAGATTCCGACTATTCCGGGAGTGAATCTCCGACAGGTGAATGCGCCCGTTTGACTTCTCTGATGACTCACGCAGACTCTCAAAAATGTTCTGGCCTGATGTGCTGTGAGGGAAAAACTGTAGAGAGAGCAATGGAAGTGATTAACCACACCTGATAAACATACTTTTGTTTTTTAAAAGAATACTCTGACAAACAAAATGAGTCCGTTTTCTCAGTTCTCACAAACCACACTGTTGAATTTGTAAACCTGCTATGTAGGACGCACAGCAGTAGAAAGGAAATCTTTTAAAAACTTTCAGTCAGGCTCTCAGAGTTCACAGAGCGAGATGAATACTGGCCCACCTTCATAAGAGAGAGGCTGAGAGAGTCCCTGCAGCTACGCAGCAAAGCCTCACACTCTGTCACAGACTTGTTATCCAGAGCAATTCCGTTTATCTGCAGAATGGGGAAAAACACTGGAAATAAAAGCAGGTCCTTCAACACAAAAGCAATGCACACTTGTCTTTCCTGATATTCCCCCGATGCGTTTGTACATCTTGGGTAGCAGTATCGCTATAACAGATACACATCTACAAACACATACAGGTGACAAATCTCCTAAACATGAGATTCCCAGGCTCTGAGATGTGTCATATGCTACTGCGGTGGGAAAACCATAAGAAATCTAGGCCAACACATTTCAGTCTCAACAACCCCTCACACTGGATTCTGCACATTCCTTTAGAACAGACGTGACCTGAGAGGATTCTCCAAAACACAAACAAGGTCAAAGATACTGAAGAGCAAACTATGTACTTTATTACAGCTGAGATTTAACATAAATTGTGTCCTGAAAGAACATCATGCCTGAACCTAGAACAAGCAGGGGAAAGAAATCTTCACTTCTGATCTTTAGGGTTCAGTAGCGGGCATTCATTTGCATTTTGTACTTATTTCACCTCCAGTCCAGCACGCTGTTCTCTTTTTTGGCAAATGCAACTATGCACTTATTAAGTCATGCTAAAGAGATTATATAAAAGAGAGACAAGGTAGTCAAATCTATATGGGAATTCTGTAACATCAAAGTTGCTCATGGCCACAAAGAGCCAAAGAATCACCAAGGTGAGAAACATGAGCCAATCGTGTTGTAATGGACCACTTTCATGCATATTTCAGGATGTCAGTGGGGCAATTTGAACTCTTGTTAGAAGAGTTGGGAACACATTTGAGGAGGCAGAGAAATAATTTCAGAGAGCCGATGGCCCCGGAGCGGTGACTTGCTCTGTGTCTGAAGTAAAATTGTATTACTAAAGTGCTAGACTTGTTGCCAAATAGAGTGGTCTGATTGGTCAGATCTGTATATTCGGATTCGAAAATTTAAAAATCATACTGCAGATTTATCCAGTTAAACGACATGGTCAAAGTGAAGAGGTGCATTAAGAAAATATTTTTAACCCAAAAATATTTGCGCAGATTTTACGTGCCCGGTGTGTTAAGTCCTTTAAAGGTGATGCACATGTTTCATGATTCTATTTAAACAAACCCTAAGAATTCTGCTGCTGCTGGAAGATTAGCACTAAATACAAGGCCGCGTTTCCATCTCCTTTAAAAAAAAAAAAAAAAGGATTTCTGACACGTCTCTCTTCAGTTCCCCTCTGGGGTGAGTATACTGCAGCTATGTGCTTGGAGACAGCTCCACCTACCACTGCAGAGCTCCAGGTTTTTGAGGATTTAATCAAAAGAGGAGACTTCCCTCCTTCCACTTCACACCCTCAGCCAAATCCCACCTTATCTACTTTTGGAGTGTGGATACTGAAATGGATCAAGGGCTGGATTAGAAACCTAAAGAAACCTCTGTGAACTGCAGTGTGCCAGACATACAGAGTATCAAAAAAATATAGAGAGAGGGGATTTCATGGAAGCTGAAACTAACTCACAGCAATGAGTCTGTCTCCAACTGTGAGAGAGCCCTCCCTGGCTGCTGGACTTCCCTGGACAATGGCAGTGACAAACACTCCACTTTCCAGACCAATGCCACTGTCTAAGATACAAAAGACAAAAAGAGGTTGATAAACAAGGAAAATGCAGGCATCTATATAAATATTTCAATCCATTTATAGAGACAGTATTATACCTTTGTGTCCCATAAGGTTTATATGAACAGGAGTGACCAGCCTTCCTCCTAGAGACTTCCTCCTTCGTACCACCATATTGATCAGTCCTCCGCCATTAAGAACAGCCTTCACCACCTGCTTCCTGTCCTTATTGGTCAGGTCGATGTCATTAATCTTCAATAGCCAATCATTCACTCTAAAAACATGCGAGAACAAAGGGTGAGGTATTTAATAAAGCATTAATAAAGCCACATAAACAGATCTCTTCTTGAGGCAGCTCATACCTTAACCTTCCATCTGCGATACTTCCTTTGTCCACCCGTGTAACAAAAATGCCACAATCTCCAGGTAAATATGGATCATTTACCCCCTCTGCAATATCAAACCCAAGCGCCTTCAAATCCATGTCATCCTGTGAAGCCAATAACATAAGTGTGACTTGGCTCATCCTGATAAAAACCCATTTTAATGCCATCATGTTTTGACAGATCTTAGAGGTCTGTTGGCTCTCAGGAGATTAGCATGTGACCAATTCAATCTCAGCAATAAGACTTGACCACTACTCTTACCCTGTCCTTCTCAAACTCCACCACCTCCGTCTCCCACTCCAGGGAGTCTGTGTCAATGGCCGAGTCATGAGAGCTGTGGGCCATTAACTGACAGAACCGGGCCTCCTTCTCCAGCTGGCTTTCCATCTTCTCCCTTAACAAAGGCAGACATAACACACACAGAGTCAAAGGTTAGTCACTTGAGGAAGGATGAGCAGAGACAAAAAGAAAGAGCAGGGAAAGAAAAAAAAAATACAGCCTGGATCAAAAGGGAGCCACATCTACAGATTGCGCAGAATTTTACATATTTTAATCTTCGTGTCAGTCTCGAGCTTTGTTTCAAAACATCTGACGTGCTCTCATTCTTACAAACACTTTCCATTTAGAGGTCCAACGAGTTCAATTTAAATTTATTCCCAGAAAAAAAATCTAAAAGTAGATTGCACACAATGCCACACTGTCAGCAAGATATATGGTGTCCTACTGAGGCATGCCTTAAGGGTTGCAGTGACATTAAAACCCCAATTGTACATCAGTCTCTGATGAGGATAGAGGAAGAAACTCAAAGTCACTGTATGGTGCATACTCTATATAGGGAAAATGTTAGATTACTAGTTAGATAATAATTGGATACAAGCACCATACATTACAAGTGGTTATAGTTAGATAATGTTAGGATTAAATTAGTAGATGGGGAAAGAGACTGGACTTTCCCCAGAATCTACCCTCCAGCCTGGAAATCGCAAACCTCGTGCAGTGATCTGACATATAATGGTTGTCATACACACTTTCGCCAGCAGAGGGAGCCTCTACATGCATTCTAAACACAGTCACATGAAGGGCCTTGAAGACAGCGAGACAAAATGTGTGTGTTCAAAACACTGACGCTTTCCGGGATTACACTTTAATCTGGGTGTGTGGAAATGTTGCCAGAAACACAACTGCATGTCTCCAAAGGCTGAATGTCATAGCTTATGCCCAGCCAAGCCACACACTGACTACAACAGCTTACAGAGACAGCACAACACACACAGCTGAGTGAGTAGAGGCCATGTTGTTTGCACTTGCTGAAATGCAGAAGACCTTTCCACTTATTCCTTATGAGTCTTTATTGGGATTCAACTTTTATGAAACAAATGGAGAAGAAAGTTGGAAATGTGGAAATATCATGCAGTGAGGGAGTCAAACAAGAGACTTCAGAGCTGACAGCAACTTTAAAACCATGATGAAGACTCACTTTAGTTCTTTAAGTTCTCGCAATGTGTCATTCTTCTGTTTTCTCATATCATCCAAATTACGCAGGGCATCGGCCAGATCGCTGACTGCCCGGTCCCTTTCTCGCCGCAGGTTGTCACACAGAGTCCTACAGAAAGGAGAGAAGGAAGATTGTGAGTAATTCGTTTATTGGAGAGGGAGATCAACTACAGACCCTCTCAGCTTTGCTAAAAGTCTTTTAAAAACCCATAAACGCACTGACCTTATGCTTTCCCTCTCCGCCACTATTTTGTCTCTCTCCTGGAAGGCCCAATCCCTTCGACATTTGGCCACCTCAGCTTCCTGTGTGGCCTCCTTCAGCTCCTGGGACATCGCTTCATACTGTTTCCTTAGCATCTCGATCTCCTTATTGGCTCGTTCCATGTCCAAGGTAGCAGAGTCTTGTTTCTAAGAACATTAAGAGTACATGAAAAAGATTAATTTTATAACACACTACGTCTCGTTTTTCATCTTAAGTATTCTAAACAATAGTCCCATACAACAAACCAAGTACTTTTCATGTATATAACCCTGCACAAGGACTATTTAAATGGCTGCTTAGTGGGTAGAAAGAGATGCTTTTTAATCATACATTTTGGTTTATACTGAATTACATATCATGGATCTAGGAAGAAAGGGCTAGATATAAGTGCTTGGCTACCTTTTGAAGAAAAAAAACAAGTTGGGAAATTGGTTCACAGGCTACACCAGTGATGGTATATGGTATAAAGAGGACACCACAACAAAGACGTCAACAGATGCTTCCTGAGATTTTATGAAAGAGCAGTGACATTTACTTGTCTGGCTTGATAGTATTCTCTGAGCAGCTGATCCCTTTGAATGATGGCCTCTGTCCTCTCCTTGCGGGCCACATCCCTCTCCTCCCGGACCGTCTCGATGTCCTTGCAGGCCTGGCTCAACTCCTTCTGGGCCTCAGCTTTGTCCTTCACCTCATGGCAATACTTCTCCAGCAGCTCATTCCTCTCGCAGATGGCCCTGTCACGGTCCACCAGTGACGAGTTCAACTCCTATCCCAGAACAAAAGGCAAAATAGAATGAGGGCATCTCAACACAGTGAGTCCTTAATGTGATGTGAAAATATTGTTGGGGGTCTAATGCAGAGTGATCTGATACTAGCTTCAAATCCTTTTGCAGTGTTCAGAAATATCCTCCAAAAAGAAGCAGAACCATTCGTGTGTACAGTGTGAGAAGGTGTCTAGTGATCAACCGATGATGCAGATGTGCAGATTTATAGATTTTGAAGGTTAATGTGAAAGTAGAGTCAATTCGGTTTTATTTAGAAAAACAAAATGATCTCAAAACACTTCAAATAGTAAACCCAAGACCTTCAGTATTTTCAGTATTGCAATAAGAAACCAGTTGCATTTTGTTAGCCTTGGAAGCAGCTTGGCTAAATGTTTCCCCCACTCCAGGCTTTAAGCTACACTAGATGGTTGCTGGCTTCAGCTTTACCATGACAGAGGTATCGATCTTCTCATCCAATGCTCCTTTCAGTTTTGTTTTTTGTTTTTTTTTTTAATGACTACTACAAGTCAAATTCTTTGATGGATTTGGCATGTTTCTTTAAGCAGGTCATATTCAGTGCCAATTTTCTTGTCCTGAAGTCTATCAGTTATAAAAGACATATACACCTGAAAATATGCTGTTGTTTTAACGTGTTTTAAAGCCCGATACCTGTCTGAGAGCCTCCAACTCTTCACTGGCCACCACCCTCTCTGATGAAGTGTTTTTCAGTCGAGCCTCAGCTGCCTCCAGTTCAGTTTGCAACTTGTCCACCTCCTTGATCACCTGGTCCCTTTCGCTCATGATGAGGCGATATTCATTAAACACAGAGTCCCTCTCCTCCTTGTACTTCTCGCAGTCCTTGGCCGACTTCAGCTGCAAGTTCTTGTAGCGCGTCACCTCTGACTGCAGCCGCTCCATCTCTCTCTGCAGCTCCTTGTTCTGAGCTGAGGACTTGTTCAGCTCCTGCTGCACTGAATCAAACCTGGAAGAGGGGAGAAATGCATGTAGTCTGAGTACAGCACTAACCCTACTTTGACTCAAACAGACAATTTAATTTAACCCTTTTGTGTCTTTTTTGTGTCACGTAATGATGCTTTCACCTCCTCATTGAGGTAGAGTACTGCTGCTGGTAATGCATAGCTGAGTCTCGTTGTTTGAGCAACGCATCCATCTGCTTCTGCAACCTCCGGTTCTCCTCCTCAACTTGCTCCAGGCGGCTCAGGTCTGTGTTGTGGTTAGCTACCTTCTCACTGTAACGCTTGCTCAGGGAATCATACTCCTTCTTTACAGCCTCCAACTTCTCCATAGCAGTGTCGTACAGCTTATTTAATACCTCTGATGAGCCCTTCTCGCTCATTACCTGGTAACAAAAATGCATACAAAGCAATTAGCATTGGTCAAAATGTTAATACCACAAACCTGTATGTACTTGTTGTACCCCACCTTAGCAGCAGATGGCGTTAATGTGCGGACAGGAGTGTAAGTGCAAGATAATCTGTGCCCACTTAAAAAAAAAATAAAAAAAACAAGCAAAAACAAAACAGATTTTATAAGGGCAAGTTTATTTCTAGGACTGCAGTTACGTACTTAGTTAACTGTGCTGGTCAGTCATTTGTCTTTAACTGTTTTAAGCACAGAGTGCGCCCTTCAGACTGCACTACTTATTCTCTTTCATTTCTGCAGGTCTTGCTGATATAGTCTTCCAGATTCCCAGAAGAGCTTCTGTGACCCGAAGGCTGTATTGACCTCTGCGAAAGCACACACTGCAAATGCACCAATGTGATCGTTACGTTGTTTGGGTCAGAGTGCCCTTTGCCCAAGCCAAGCCCTTTTCTTCTGTGTGTGCCCTTTTCAGAAATGCTCTGTGTGCATTTCCCTCTGCTTGGCTGCCCTGTGCTTGCAACTACTGCAGTGTCCCCATGGGTACTGTAAGACACTACTTCACAATATGGGTCACTGTCCCCTTGTGCTCTTAGAAGAAAGTATTCAGTACATAAAACACAAGAGGAAAGACTGTCTGACACCCCAAAATATATGAGGTGCAATCAAAAAGATAAAAAATAAAAATCTGTGGCTGCCCCTTAGAAATGCAAGAACTGAATCCTGTTTAAATATGATCACTATCAACTTTGAGATAGTCTCCTCGCTAAACAAGAACTTCTGGGAAATCGTGCTTTCCCAGCACATCTAACACCATCTCCAACGTGCACATTCTCTTATACACTGTTTTTTTAGGGGGAAAAAAAGATACAGAGTCATGTGTGGTCAGTAGAGTTTAGGCAGAATGATTATAGTGTTGGTGCAGGAAAAAGACTTTGACTGTACATTAACACATTATGAGCACGGACAGCTCATGTAATTTAGCACAAACGTTTGTCATTAAATGCCTCAGGATGTTAAGGTAGAACACTGTGTTAACTGACCCTTGGTGACTAATTCACTGTGTACAATCCTGTGCGTGTCAACAACAGCACCAAGCACGGGTTTGGTCACACTGTGGCCTTTACGTCTGTGCTCTTGCACTTGAGTTTCTGTTTATAGCAGCACACCCAAATCGCACAACCAATGACTGTCCTTTAGGAGAGCTACCGCTCACACCTTGCAGCACGAGCATGAGCACGCCAGCCTCACATGCTTTCAGAAAGATTACAAATATGTGGTGCCTTAGTAAAGGAACAAATATTTACATGAAAAAGCAGTTCGGTTTTATATATGCAGGCCCACCATCTGTGCCATGTCACTCAATCTCTAATATAACATCTGGACAGCAACAGCGGTGCGTCTGTGACCGCGTTATACCTGCTGTTGCTGCAGCCGAAGGTCCGCCAACTCTTTCTGGTCTTGACTGTGCAGTCGTTTGAGCTCCTCACAGTTCTGTTTTAGGTGGTTGTGCTCCCGGACAAGTTGGGCATTGTCCCTCCTGAGTGTTTCCATCTCTTCCTTCAGCTGTGCCTGGTCGCCCAAGACACGGCTGTGCAGCATGCTAGAAAGAGGAAAAGTGAACATACATGGACGTGCAAACATACAGAGCAGAAAGCAAACTTTGATTAGATTAGGTAAACACAGACAGAGGATATGCAAGTACATGCAATATGTAAAACTAAAATATTATTTATTCTACATCATCTAAAATTTGCAACCAAAGTTCAAACTGATTGAGAATAAAATTGATAAAAAAAAATATTTATTCAGCGTAGAAGTTGTGAATGTATTGTTAAATCGTATTAGGTAAAAGCACACAATCATTAATGATATTAATTTACTTGCTTAGTCATCTAGGTGTGTGGAAAATATAAAAACATTGAAACACATGTTCTGCCTCTGTGCTCCAGAAATTTTGGCTGGGCTCACAAGCTATGAGGCTGAATGATTCAATCATATAAATGGCTCCATTTTCCAAGCTTTTAAAACCATGCACGTTGTTATATTGTAGTGCCAGTTCCCTTTAAACGTGAAAGCCGACTGTAGCTCCGAGGGATGTTCTTTCAGTCGGGTTAACTACAACACCACGCAAGTGTTTGTTACAGCTGCAGCAAAACAACGCAATAAAACTTGATTATTTCGATGCTGAAAAGCAGCAGATTGCTGAATCCCATCCCAAGCTTGTTTATATTTTCATTTTAACAACAGTTCTGAACAACACTTACCACTGATACCAAATGGAAATCTAAGCAACTGATAAGCACAAACTGCATAACAGAGATACATATGACAACAGAGTCCTTCATCAACAACAAGAAAAACAAAACTCGTTGCAAGAAAGACTTACTGGTAGAAGTCAGCCTCCTTCACAGCCTCCTCGCACCTCTTGAGTGTTTTAGTATGCTGGTTCTTCAGAGACTGCAGATCTGCCATGGCCCCAATGCACTGACTTTTTAGACGCTCATAGTCATGACTGGCTTTGGAATTTGGCCTTAAGAAGAAAGGCACCAAACCAAAATTTTATTACACAAGCCTTGAATGATAGCGTGCCCAAGCACATCGCAGATAAAAGAGCTGACCTTCTCTTTGTACAAAAATGCATAGTACTGGCATGTTTAATCCTAATAACAATACTTTAAAACTATGTGTGCATATAGGCATTTTAGCCTTGGTATCATGTGTTGCAAAGGAAACATCTTGTTTCTAGAGCACATTAAACTTTATTAAGCCGTCAGTGTCAATGTGCACTCTCTGCAAGGCAAGGTCAACATTTTCCCAGACAGGTGAGAATTATTAAACATGGCAGCCAGCACTGAAGACAGCCAAGAGAGAGTAAACAATACCAGTGGAGCTCTGCTGATTCAAAGAGCAATGAATCCCAGATTTGATGCCTTTCATTTAGACAGAAAAGGGAGGCATGAATAACAACACTTTTATAGTCATGAGGCAAATTAAAAAGTGTTACCAGGAGGTAACAAGAAACAGTGACAACAACAACAACTTGGCAAACAGGCCAAGATTTGCACCTGCAGTCGTCGAAGGTGGTCCCAGGCGATGCCAACGCCAGACGCTTACGAAGCTCATCCCGCTCCCTGGTCACCTGGCGGAGCTGCAGCAAGATGGTGTCCAAGTTGTCACCGGAATGCCGGTTGTCATTGATAGCTGGGGGTGGGGAGGATGCTTCACCATTAACAGGAGAACCTGGAACGGTAAACACATTACTGAGAAGCCCATGACCATTTATCACACACTGGATTGTTTTATCTCGTAAATTTAGAGTCTTTAGCGAGAGACAAAGCATGAAGGAGTAGGATTGTGAAAATGATTTCTTCCTAGTTTTGTTAATTTCTTTGGGTATAATAGATTTTCTATGACCAAATTAAGAAAATGTACAGATTTCTGTCAAATAAAGACACACGGACATCATTTCCTGCAAGGTCACAGATCCTGTTCACACACAGTGTCACCCTCAATGGTTAATTCCAACTCAGGAAAGAAACAGACATACAACTGTCCAGTTGTCACTGAATGCATTCCCTTTTCTGTGCCTCAAAAGAACATCAAATTTAAACATTATGACCCATCCAGAAAGGATGGGTCATAATGACCCATCCAGAAAGTCATAATGACCCATCCAGAAAGGATGGGTCATAATGGGTCAAAGGAGTGTGCTCCCAACTTTAGAATTAGGAAGCAAAAGTCCCATCCAGCTGTGAGGGCAGCACCTGGTTGTTTTGAAATCCCTTTATAATATGCCAGGGGTTTTTCCTGAGAGGCTGTGCAATAAAAGTTGGTGGACATTACATTCGATTTAAAAGACTACACCTTTTGTAATGTCAGATGTAAAAAAAAGGAAAGAAAAAAAATGAAAGGTTTGTGCTGTATCTCTGGTATTTTCTTAACAAGGTCCCCAGAGATTTATCTTTAATCAAATTAAGCCACATGTCTACATAAATGCCTGCAATACAAATCCACTGAAATCTTGTTTTTATAATTCTTGTTTTATGGAAAATATGTTCTTATATTTCAGATTTTATTTTATTTTTTTAAACCGAGTGTCACTGACACGGTGCCACATAGATCGAGTCTCATAAATCATATATACACCATTACAAGTCACGTTCTGGGTTGTTTTCCTTGAAACATGAACCAGGGCAGGAAATCTGGGGATTATGTTCATCTTTGAGTCATTTTTTTGGACCTTTTGGAGGTTTATGTAACACAGCTGAGTCATTTGGACCTTTGTCAAGCCTAGGGAAAGGAAAACATGGCTTAAGGAACGGGAGATGTGTGGCAAGTGCCCCAATGGTGGGTTTAAAGGAGAAATAAAACCGCTAGATCCTGCACTGTAACGCCACAGGAATTACGCCAATATCAGTGTAAACAGCTTCCCAACAGTGCACTGTGGGCATCATACAGAACCAGTGTGACCTGACATGACAAATAACTTCTTAAAAAGGCTTCTTGGGTCGTTATACATACCAACACTGCTGAGGGAACTGCTGCTTTCTGAGTCGGAGGGCATTGTGGAGAGAACGCTGTACGTGGAACCTGCCAAGAAAAGCGATGCGGTGAGACTTGCAGCACCGACAGAATGATGAACCACTTACACACGAGCCTGAATTAATTGCCGGTAAAATGCCAAATGAAATGAATATTACATAGCCATCTTCATATTCCCTGCACAGCTGTATTATAAATGCAGTACTGGGTTTATACTTCGAATAACAACTTCAACTCTCCTCCTTAGCAGCTCTATATTATCACTCCAGACCCCTGTCGTCATTAAACCTCCCTTCCCTCACTGTGCACTCTGCCTTGCTTTGATGTATAGTCCCTGTATGTTTCTGCTACACAGGCAGAATGTCACGGCTGAAATGGGATTTTCTCTTTTTATGTCAAGCACATAGAGAGAGTAGGAGAGAGAGAGAAAGAGAGCAGCAGAGAGAAAATGATTCTCTATCTGAATAGCTATGCACAACGTTAAGCTAGGGGATATTTCACACAGGCTACCACAATCCATAGGAAAGACTCTACAGATCCCCATTATAATGCAGAGTCCCTGCTCCAAAGGGTAACATAAACATGGCTGGTAAACAGTTGCACTAATATAAACATTCAGACTTGTGTAATACTAGTATTTGTGATGAATTGCACAATCTCTAATCTGATATGTAAAATAGATGCTGATGCAGTTAGGGACTGAAGTGTTTTGACGCCGAGTTAATTTTTTTTTAAAAAAAAGCACAATGAAACTGAGATAATACTAATCTGATGTGATAAATGAAAGCCAAACAGAGGGTTTAGGAGAACAAGGGATTGGTAGCTGTCAGCAGCAAGCAATTGACGCCAATAGTTCTAGACCTCCATCTCTGTCCTTGCTTCCCCACTGAGTTTAGCTACAGCTCTGGCTCCAGCCCTCAATGTGTGACAAGGCCAAGCCTAATTAACTATGAGCTCTGTGCGACTGAGCCACTCCATCTTAGGCCCCGCAGACAGAGGAGGGAGGGAGGGGCGCAAAAGGAGAAACATGAAGAAGGCATGGAACAGAGCAGAACAGATAAAAGGAGATAGCCTAACTAAAGTTGCACAGGCGATAAGGAGGAAGAGAAGTAAGGAGAGAGACTGTGAAAATAGAGAGAAGCAGGGCGGAAAGGCTTTTAATCTGTTCTGACGTTCCCCGATGCTCAACACTTTTACTCCGTGAAGTGCTTGGAGCACACGGCTTTGATTTCATATTGTTCCATCAGACACAATGAGCACCACTGTGGGGTTGCACAGCATTAATTCTCTACAACCCAGCTATGCAAAAGGCTAATGTGCATTTCCGAAGAGGCAACTAAAAGCAACTACTGACTTCTTGAACCCAGTATGTGACGGTAGGGTTTTATAATAAAACTCATGAGCCAATGGGAGGTAATGTCAGCTCTAAACCTTGAAAAAATAAAAATAGAATACTGAACAGAACAAAACCCTCAATTTGTGCTGTTTTTGGCACAAAAAAAGATCTTAAAAATCTAGCTTCTTGGGGCAATCTAATAGAGTAGTTAGGATACATACAGCACAGGTAAAAATTCCCTTTTTGCACTCGACTCCCAGCCTGTCAGACCATAGCTGCAGGTGATTTATCTGCCCTTTTTCTAAATAACATCTAAATCAAGGAAAAGAAGAAAAAAATATCAACATAAAACTCTTTAATATTGTATATATATATATGTATATTTTAATAGGTTAACTCCATAAGCACCACAACAACTGTACACCTGATTGACATGAGCCAGCCGTTGATCTGAGGGTCAACAGCACTGGAGTTTTCCTGTAGCTTTTAGACACTGATACCAATTAGCACCAGCCACAACAAGTGAGGCTAATCATTTGTAAGCATGTTCACTACATCAATAAAACAGACATCCATTAAGGCGGCATAGATCTGATGCTCTACAGAGGTAGAATCCAATTGCGTCTGCCAATAGGAGGCACACAGGACAGATGAGACCTCAAAGATTGCTTTCAGCCTCATAAATAGAAACATGACAGGTTTTATCAGGAGATATTATACACAGGGGTGCACAGACTGAAATTCTTGACGATTACTAATACTGATATTTAATATAATATTTCAGGCAATGCCAGTATACATTGACTTCACACAAATTCAAAACTGAAGCAATATACCGATAAACCACCGATGGTCTACAGGGTAAACAAATGCCAAAAAAAAGAGATGCATTCTGAGGTGAGAATAAAATCCAGTAGAAGACCTGACGCAATGGTAACAAAAGACTGTCACAGTCACCTAAATAGGTTAGGGAAGTACTTGCCATTCCTAAGGGGCTCCGCTTCCCCCACTTGCCCATCTGCTTCCCTTTAAAAATCAAAAAATGAAAAATAAATAAATAAATATTGGGATAGCTACCAAAAGTTGCTTCAAACAACGAGATTATGTTCTCAAGGACATAAAAGGAGATGGCATAAGTTGCCATAGTGAAACTGGATGAGAGGAATAGTCAAAGAGGACGGCATGAGAGTTGGAGGAAAGCCTTAATCAAAGAAAAAGACAAACTCTGCCTTCTACAGTGGCTGAGACTAAATTATTCATCAATTCCAGAAAATTCTGACAATGAGACCGTTTCCCCCTAAAGTAAAGACACACATGATTATCAGTGAGATGGGCTCCTTGCTGCTGCCGCTTCAAAACCCCTTATTTTTTTAGAGCACATTGACAAGCCTCATTGCTTCTGATTTAAAGCAAGCAAGGCAACTGTGATATTTCAAAGCCCTCTACAGACAAACATTTTGGGGCAACTTGGTAGAGCAGCAGCATTAGCATTCCAAAAATAATACAGTGCGCTTTTCTTTATTAGCCACAGTCAGCTCTTCTCACTGTCAGTGAGCAACAATGATTAAAACAAAGTTGAGGCTAGCAGAGTCTGTGCCCTTTCTCCTTCACCATCCTTAGCTTTACAGCCATTTAACCACAGAAGCGCAAACAATAGCAACACTAATAACACGGTTGACAACAACCCACTCATTTTACAGTGTGCTTAACTGAGGCTGAAGGATGTGTCAGCATTAAGCCAGAGAGCAGAAAGAATGATTTGCTGGGTAAGCTAGACCTCCAAATGCTGGCCGTGTCTCCGCACACAATAAGGACAATGTTGTTTAAATTAGCAGTGTACAACCCCCCCATTATATCATGATACTGGTACACAGATATACACACGCTTATGTCCAAACCTCACTATCCCTACTCGGGGAGCTTCAGAAAGTAGTGTGCCAAACTTCTGGTGAGGCACTGACACCTCATGGAAAATTCTGGGAAATGAGCCAGCTCAGCCTTACTACTGGGGTAAAGGATCGATCGTCTGATTTAAAAAGTGTACAATTAGCGTAAACACGAATCTGTCAAACATGACGATGTCATGAGCAAGGATTACTCCACTGCACGCCCGCCCACCCACCTTTTTCCACTCAGACTTGAGTCTGTCCTCTAGCATGAGTCAAAACTAAATCTGTTTTACCACCAAGCAAATGGCAAGATCACCCAAATGTAACCTTATAGTAATCATGGATCCTTGCAAACAGTTTGAAACATTACTCTCCCCCCAAAAAAACAAAAACAAAAAACAAAATGCTAGTGCCATCCATCCCAGCCTATTATGAGCAAACCATAATGGGGCTTCTTTATGCAAAGAACCCTTGCTCAGCATAAATGAGGCATGATTTGTTTTAAATCAGCTTACTCGTGCCAAGGGTTGGGTCAAAAAGAAAAAAGGTGCCAGAAAGAGCCCGATACAGGTTTTTGAGAGGAATGCTGCCACTGATCTAAGGCAATAAAAATCTGTACATACACACATTGTTTTGTAATTAGCTCCATTTGCAAACTAGTAGGTAACTTATATTAGGAAGACATCAGTAATCCTGCTCTAACTACTGCTCTGCTATGAGGCATATTCTGCAAAGTCAGTTTGAATTTAGTGTGAGCTGTCCTCACAGCAACAGATAATGAATTTTCTATTCCTCATAGTTGTTAACATTTTGAATTGTAGGAAAATTAGCATAGCACTTGGTCCCAGAGGTACAATTATAAATATCCTCGTTTCTGCTTGCTATGAAGCTGTGATTAATAAAAACACAACAGATGCGCTTGCCATTGAGTTGAAAAAGGCTACAGACACTGCTGTTGTCTAGATTTTACCCCCAAAATATGGAGAGCAGCATCAGTAAAAGTACTGTGAATGTCAGTATCAGTCCAAACCATACCTCCCTCTACCAGTTACATGCCTCAGCAAGTGAAAAAGCCAAAACACTGCCAAAAAGCCAGTTTGCATGGAAAAACCCCACTGCTGTAATTTCAGCAACCTTTGTGATGTTCCCTTCGCGTTTAATCACAGGGCAGCACATGTTGATTCACAAACCATTTTCATTTTGCGTTGAGGTAACTCTGTGATTAAGCCAAACTATCATTTCTTAAAAGGTCAACAAGAAAAAGGAGAAGAAAAGAACATATAATCATTTTTCAGACCTGCAGATGTGGTAGGTAGGACAATTCTGGGCAGGAAAAGCAAATATTCTACACTGCAGTTCTCTGTGTGAAGCAATTCTGCTAAAGCTTGGTGAGGTATCTAAATAAAAAAAGAAAACACCCCACTCCCCCCAAATAATCTATGTAGCTGCTATAAAGTTTTTGCTGATATAAGTGTTTTCTCAGGTTTCCTTACATGTGCAGAGCCCTAATGCAGTGGAATTATTAACAAGCACAAACCAATCCTCAAACTTTCTGTCGCCTTCGTTCTTCTGATATTAAAAGCATATGCTCTAATTGATCTAAAGTAAAATAACAAATCACCAACTAACCACGACTATGCATAATACTTTAGTCTTATCTAATCTTCAATAAGAGGCAGACGCACATGCAATAACGATTACTATCATGATTATTATAGTAGGGGTGCAACGATACTCGTATCGATATTGAACCGTT